TGAATATCGGTATTTGCAAGAGCTTAAACTAGAACTACTTATGAACGTAAAAGTGTGAAGTCGAACATAACGTTTGTTCATTCTCCAGTATTTCTCAGTTTTGTTTTCTCCAATTCACTTGAAATTCTTCCAGTTCAATAAGTTCTGAGGCAATACTGTTCGTAGGTATTCGCAAATTTATTTTTTTTAAGTACGATAATAATTCGACTCTAAATTGAAATCCAAATTGCAGCGCGATTTACTTCGTAATTCAATTGTGCACTTAAAGACGTCAACATCAGTGTTGCCACGGTCGTGAAAGACTTTTTAGAAATTCCCTTAAATATTCTAGCGGGATCAGAAAACAAATTTTTAGTTCCCCATCAGGAGACCGATACACGTCGAATGGCACCTCATACGTCTCGATTGGTGCACGGGAAGTTGTCTAGACGCCAGTGACGGAAAGGCAAAAACACACATCTGCACGTCCGCGCACTCGAGAGTTTTACTGAAATACTCGAACTGTATAGTGATTTGCACTTTATCGCTATCAATTCGTTCACATAAATGGCAACCCCTCCACTATCTTTTACGCTCGCTAATCTATTTTTGAAGTAACACTTGTATCCTTTGATATTCTTATGAAAATTTGTTTTTAGTTTGTTTCTCGAATAAATAAAAGCCAAAATTGAGATCACTCTAAACCTTCTGCAAAAATTCGTATCTAGCACGATTATTGTAATTTTCCTCTAACTGAAGCTAGTTATTCATCTATGTTTTTCTTAACATTACTTCCTGCAATGTTTTCTTTGTTCTTTTTCTTCTTCTTTTGGATGGTTTGGCAAGATTTTCCGCTTACTTAACTTACTAACTACCACCAACTTACAGTTGTACTGTTTGACACCCGTACCCCACGTGGCATTGGCTCGCTAGTATGTCTCCGTTGCTGCGTTCTGATTGAATAGCATGTGTTACTATTGGGTTTTCAGTGCGCGGATTTTGTTTATAGTAAACGGTTGTTGCTCATTTATGGCCTATTTAGTTTTCAATACTCTAAATACAAGGAAAAATTAACTGATTCGTATTTTACTATTGTACTATTGTACTAAACGATAGCGTGGTATCTGCTTTATCTCCGAGCGATTATATTTCACGGTTCTTTCATTCTGGATGCGTACACATTGCAATGGCTTCTTCGAAAATGTATGTTTTTTACGTGTTTGTAAATGATTCTGTATCTATTGGTATTTACAGGGAGCATTTTACATTCTTTTAACTTATGATAGTTGTAAATGTTCAATTTGCCAAATTCTAAACATACAAATTAGATTGTATCCTCATGGAAACAGCGGGACTGAATGACAGAGTATAACATTTCTTTTTAGGTTGACTGTAAACGAGATCGCAGATCTTCTGACGGATGTAAACGATAGTTTCGAGGGTTATATCGTTATTTCACGACCCGAAGGCGATATTGGGAAGAAAGGGAAGCTGAATTCGATCGTTTGTCTGGAAAACAACTTTTAATTCATGCAGAAGGTAATGTGAAGAAAATAATATCAGCTGATGTGGTGAAATAAGTTGTTGCCCACACAGTTTCAAATTTTGAAGCAAGTGACTCAAAAAATATGAAAAGATTAGAAAACAAGAAAATAAAAATAAGAAATTGGATAAACGAAGAAATAAAGAGGAAACTATGGTCACAAAGTGGGATAATCCTGATTGAATTTTGAATTTTGATGAGGATCCTGTAAAGCTTTTTGAGTTATTTCACAGCAATGATATAATTCAAATAATATGTGATTATTCCAACTTATATGCTCTTCAGAATCGGGAAAGCAATCTCACTCTTCAACAAGAGGAAATCAAAGTATTTTTGGGCGAATTGCTTGTTAGCAGCTATTCTCAACTACGCAGACTGGAACGGAGGCCAGATAACTATAACAAAGCTAGATCTGATACAATTTTTAGAAATATATTCATGAAAGTTATAAAATATTTACAGGTGTGTGATAATCAAAATTTATATAAATCGAATCACTTTGCGAAGATTGCGCATCTTTGGGAGATGCTGAACAAGAAATAGTTGCAGTACTCTCCAGGTGACAGAACTTTGTGTGAATGAGTCCATGATTCCTTACAACGGCCGTCCTGGGGCAAAACAGCACATTCATGGGAAACTGATCCGTTTTGGGTTACAAAGCATGGTGTTTGTGTAGCGGATTATGTTACCATATTCAAGCAAATTTGTGTCAGAGAGCTGCTACTCGCAACACGTACTCTATGTAGGAGCGGTAGGATCTGTGGTTTTACCTCTAACAGAGAATCTCCCAGAAAATAAGTCTGACTTGTACTTTGATCACTTTTTTACCTCCATGTATTTTTAAGAGAAACTAAACGAACTAGGATGGAACGACACAGGTACAATAGCTCAAACAGAACTGAAAGTGCGCCACTAATGCATCCAAAACGCGTCCTACGAAGAGAGAGAGGATTTCATTGCCTTGTCACAGATACGTAATCGAAAGTAACTTTTATAATGAACATTTCTTTTAATGTTGTAACTGTTGCTTCAACTCTGCGGGCTGCTGCACCTGTTGGACAAGCTAAAAATGCTAAGCACAAATGACATATAACGATTGACCAGCCCGCTGGTGTTATTTATTATAATACAAACATGGGAGGTGTTGATCGTTTAGATCAGAATGGGTCAGAAATGAGAGTAAATAAGAGACAAAAAAAATGATACTAGCAGTTGCTCGCTTTTCCATTGAGTACGTCAATTCAAAATGCATGGCATCTCTACAGTTTGTGCACGACAGGCTAGAAAGTGCAAATAGATGAGCCTGAGTTTACACGAACAATTGTTCTCACTACTTCATTTCATTTTCTTCATTCACTTCACTCTCATCTACTTTCAAAACTACTCTCAGCGCGTGACTCCTGGGGTTACTTCGTTTGGTCAGAAGTGTAGAAAAGACAGTAACAAATCAAACACGATATGATAATGAAGGTCATTTTATTTCCAAAGGAGATAAACAATCTCGTTGTGGACAATTCAAGAAAAATTCTAGAATGAAGTGTATCAAATGCAATGTATTTCTGCATGCAGACTGTTTTGTAATATTCAATCAAAATAAAATGATATATCTTCAAAACTAAGTTACATTATTAAATTTATGTGGTCTTTCTAAACAAATATATATTTATACTTCACCTACCCTATCAATTTCACTGTTCCCATATGAAACACTCCAAAACGAAAATCTAAGAGCAATTTTATTGGAATTTCAATCAAAATATGTTAATTTAACTCTGAATAGGAAATGATTTATACATTTATTTTCAAAAATAGAATGATGGGTTTCAAAGGGTGAAGTTAGTTTCGATGTGGTTATTAAATTTGCAAATATTTTTAATAGTTAATGAGTATGAGGTAAGGTGATTTGCGATGTATTTACTCGCATTGTTTCCATCCATTGATACCTATTTTCCTCGTTGAAATATATTTCAGTGCATCCTTTCACTACAGGCGTACAATACAACAGACTAGCTGCTTAAAACGTCAACTGCGCTTCATTCACTTTGGAGGAAGGATATTTTATATCTACACTTACGTATGTGCAAGTATCGTGATTACTTGGTTTCAATATGGTGACCAATGCTACTTCGGCAGCTCTCGGAGATCAAAGAAACCGCCGTCAAGTTTCCTTTCTGTGTAGTATATATTCTGTGGCCTCAGTACCAATTCGTGAAACGTGAGCGGTCTGACAGCTATACCACGGATAGCCTGCGATGAACCGAGAACGAATAGAAATAAAAAGCTGAGAAACGGGAAAACGCAAAAAAAAAATTCGCATTTTTCCGGCGCACAATAACAATACTTTCTCTTCTTACGTTAGTAAGTGCGAGGAAATAAAATTGACGCGAAGCACAAATGCACGAGCAGCGAAGTAGTTCCGTAGTGGATTTTCATCGCCATCTACATAGCGATGTCGGAAGCAGCTGCTGTCTTCAGAATCCTGGCCATCGGCTTCTCTCAGAAGTTTTCCGTAGCTATTACGGTAAACACGAGGCGAATACTGGAGCAGTACCCTAACATTAGAGCCAGGGACTGCGCAAGATCTTTCCGTCCTCGTCCTTGACCTATCCTCATCCTTTTTTACGCCCCCACACATGAACTACACTACCACACGTCAGGGGCTAAGAGCTTGTGTCCTGTCTGGGGCGGTACCCGCTGGTGGGAGATACCTAGATCGGGAAATCTCACAATGTGACTGTAGAGCCGGAAGAGGTGGTGGTTCAGGGCATCAACTGATATCACTGCAGTGCCTTTGACCGGCAGGTTCCAGGTTCGAGTCCCGTCGGTGGCAAGAGTTTCGACACTGACATATGGCTAGGTCGAGTTCAGTCAATGTGTGGAGGAGAATTATAGCTGCCGGTTGCTCTGATCGGTAGTTTTCCATGGTTTCTCCTATCAACATGACATGAATGGCGGAACAGCACGCTAACAATCCGTAACGGAGCGCGCGCGATGTCACATTTTTCTCCCTTGCCCTATCCCAACCTTTACTTACACTTACATGCACTACACTACCACACATGCCGGGAGACCGGTCGGAAGCTTAGAGCTTGTCCCGGCTGGGGCGGCGCCCCGCTGGTGGGAGATTCTAACCGGTTGGGGGAAATCCTGCTAACTGACTGTAGCGAAAGATCACTACACTTGCAGGATAAATGACCCTTTTTTTGCAGTTGGTGCGCACGGAATCACTTATCAACCAATCATGAGACAAAATTAAAACAATAAAGACACAAAATCAAACATTCAAGAGACAAAATCAAACAACCAAGGGACAAAAATCAATGAATCAAGGGACAAAATCAAACAATCAAGAGACAAAAACCAAACAATCAAGACACGAAAATCAGTCAATCAAGAGACAAAATCGATCAATGAATAGACAAAAATCAATCAATCAAGAGACAAATATGAATGCATCAATCAATGCAATAGTACTCACCGCGCGGAGGAGGCACCGCGACATGCAGAGGCTGTCCCGCTCTCCAGGCACCGCCCCTTCTTCGCCCCTACGGCCGCTCCCTGGCTACGCACGCTCTCTCCTCCGGCGCCGCCGCCGACCCCGCCGTCACCGGGCGTCTGGGCCGCGGCGGCAGCCTCCGAGCGGTCCAGCGGGCG